CCACTGGACACCGAGCTTTGCTACAGACAGAGGAGGCAGCCTGCCTTAGGGCCCCCGAGTCCAGAACTTGCCCAGGCACCCCTGACTTTCAGTCACTTTTTTTCACCTTCCAGATTGGCCTTTAGCCCTTTCCCAGGTGGCCTTTTACTGGTGATACCCTGACCAGCTTCACTCATACTCTCCCTCACAAGCAGACTGGACAGGGGCTGGAGTGGGTAAGGTGGGTGAAATCACCTTTGAAACTGGGAGAGATGAAGTAACATGGCAGAAGGTACATCAGGAATCAGAGCCCAAAGTCACTGTCTTGCCCCTGCCTTGTAGTCCCACCCCTACTTCACTTAATCTCTCCTCTGTTATGTATTAGTAGGCATTTAATATATGTACATGGAATTGAATTATGAATTTCTCTTGAGGTAGGAACCCGCTGGGCCGCAGATTTTGCTTAGGTGTGCTGCCACACACAAGTGGCACTGAGGAGAAAACCAGGCTGTGAGGAGCCTTCCAACCGAGGCTCATGCGAAAGGGATGGTTTTGCTTAGTGGTTAGAGTGCTGGCCTGCAGACTGAAGGGTCTCAGGTTCGATTCCATTCATGGTCATAAGCCCAGGTTGCAGGCTCAATCTCCAGTGTAGGGTGTACAGGAGGCAGCTGATTATTGATGTTTCTACCTCTCTCTCCCTCTACCCTTCCTCTCTGAAATCAATAAAAATATACTTTTTAAAAAGGGATGGAGGAATCATAGAGATTGGGCCTGAGGAAGACATAGAAATTTGGGGTGACATGTGTTTGCAGGGGCAGGAGTAGGGAACCACAGCCACCATTTTCAGGTCTAGGACACGCCCACTCAGTGATGTCATAATCACATTCTGTGAAGTTCTGATGACGGCAACCACAGCTTTTAGCTTCAGGCCTAGTGCTTCAGCTTGAAGGAAGGAGGAGCTTTCTCAGGAGGAGCAGAGATGGAAATCGTCCCTTCGAACAAGAGCAAACCTTTCGTCCTTCGAAGTATGTACCCATGGGTAGGGCTGTGGCAGTGGGTGGGGAAGAAAGGGCTTTGAGGGGGGTTTCTGGACACCACTTACTATGCGGTCTCTTCTGCCTGAGAGAGATACCCTTATTCCCTGGTTCGGCCTTCTCCTCTCTGCCTCTGGGAATGTTGTGTGTGTGCCTGGTGTGAATGTGAACATACATGCTGCCGTGACCCTCACCATCCACTCAGGGGCCTACCAAATAGTGCCTGGTGGGTTCTGAAGCTGACAACTCTGGTTCTTCCACTTTGGTGCCTGACAACTGGTAAGTACAGCCTCCCAGCATGGCCAGGATGCTGGGTGGTGGCTGGGTCCCACCTGAGACCTCAATTTGCGTCTTTAGCTCAGGAGGGCCTAACAACATGGAGGCAAGGGCACTGTGGCAGAGGGAAGGTGTTGGTCAGATCATAAGTGGAGACCCTGCTCTCCTTTGGGAAGGGCAGAGACAAAGGTGGAGGGAAGAGGCCCAGGCAGGTTAGACCTTGGGGACCTGGTAGTAGAAGAAGCTGGAGCTATCTGGCTGGAGGGAAAAAAGGCCTGTTTTGCCAGAAAATCTCTGAAGGGTGAGGGGTGGGATTGTGTGTAGGGTGGTGACTCCAAGGTTCAGAGATTGCTCAAGATGGAAAAGACAGCCCATAAGATAGGTGGCAAGCTCTCTGTGAGTGAAGATATGTGAGCAGAAGGTAGGTAACCATTAAGGTAGGTACCGTTAGGACCTTAAGATATCCACATTCCCAAGGGTCTGTGAATCGGGTATTTAGGAAAGTGACTTCATTCCTGTCGGCTCTGATCAAAGCAGCACTATCTCTGGCTTCTGGTCTTAGTTGGGTCCCTAATGATGGAAGCCTAGGGGTTCTAGCTTGCCCAGGAGACTCAGAGGAGTTGGCAAGAACTGGGTGGGGATGGGGAGGCAGTTGCTTTAGGGGGTCAACTCCCTCAAACACCTCAAACTCAGCCAGTTTCTGGAAACAGCATTTGGAAAACCCATAATCTGATCTCATTTCTAACTATGGGAATTATAGATAGCTGGTTATCTTGGTGGTTCAAAGCGTTTGGGAACAGCAACTTAGAACTTAGGATGTGCCTCTTCTACATTTCAACCCATAAAATGTGCACCTTTTCCTCACCCCTTCCTTCATGCATTCTTTCTTTCAGGAAGCTCAAAGAGGAAAAGGCCCTCCAATGTTTTTCAATAGGGCTGGCACTAGCATGGGTAGTGGGACATTTCTTTCTTCTGGATGACTCTGTCCAGTGCAGGACATTTATCACTCCTTCCCATCCCCTCCTCTTATCAAATTCCAGCAACAACTCCCAGTCATGGGCATTTTCAAACATCCCTTAGAGGTGACACTGCCTCCCCACCACACATACACTTTGTAAACCATTGCCTGAATCCCCTAAAAGGTGTGACTTGCTCAAGGCCATACCACTAGCCAGGGGCAACGCTGAGGAGGCCAATTCAAGTCAAATCCCATTTGTACATTCCAAGAACTTTAATTCTTCACCAGGGGGTGTGTGTCGGGAGAGCAGAAGGAATGTGAGCCCGGACTGAGGCAGGGAAGAAGTGACTCCCTAAGCACAGAACTACTAGTACAATTTCTCTGCTTTTGTCAAACTCCGTTTTCCGCCTCTAGCCCACCTAGCTCGCTCTTTCCGCAACTGCAAGCACAAACAGATTTTTCTGGCAATTAGTGCAAAGAGCCTGGTGGAGCAGGATCCACGGGAGCGGAATCAGGTCCCCTTTTTATGGGGGAGGGAGGAGGAGCGGACGGGGGCAGCGGGATCCCAGTACTGAAACCCCGAGGTCTTGCCAGGGGAACAGCTGCCTCCCACTTTCATCAAGGAGAGAGCTGCGGGCAAGACCCCGGCCGCGGAGCCGAGACAGGACTGGGCAGAGGTGGAGGACCCTCAACCTTTGCTGTTCGCCCCCGGAAGTTTTCGGGGGCTGGGGACTAGCTAGGGGCCAGGAGTGGGAGGCGGAGGCGCCCAGGTCGCAGCGCGGCGGGAGCCGAGGGCCGCGCAGCAGGACCCGACCTTGCCATCCCGCGTCAGAGGCCAACGCCGAGGAGAGTAACGGGGCCAACTCCCCGAAGTCCTTTGAAGTCGCAGCTCAGGTTGAGGAGGGGGCTGGGAGGTGGGAAAGCTCTGTTTTGCCTCTGCAGCCGGCGCCGGCGGGTAGTTCTGTTTGAATGAATGATCCCAGAGGCCATGCCCAATGGGCGCCCGCGCCTGTTTAATATGCATGAGGCCCGCAGCCAATGGCCGGGCAAGGAGGCTGTTTTAAACGGCAGAGCCCGCTGGCCAATCAGGCGGCTCTCGTGGAGGCAGCTAGCGCGAGGCTGGGGAGCTCGGAGCCTCGCGTCGTGCCCTGCGCTGCCCAGACTAGCGAACAATACAGGTACGTTTCCTCCGCCCGCCCGCGCCCGCCGCCGCCGCCTCCTCCACCGCCACCAGCGCCGCCACCGCCACCGCAGCGCCCGCACAAGTTTCCAGCTCCTGCAGCCGCCAGCGCGTCCCGCTGCCACCGCCTCCTGCCTCTCATCCCCGCGCCCTTCCCGCCCCCTCCACCTTCCTTCTACCTAGGTGCCTGGGAAGGAAGAAGCGATTCAGGTGTTTCAACTTTCCGGGGCTTCGTTCCGAGCTCCCCGCGGTTTGCGCGGGGCTTCCTGCCCGGAGCCCACCCGGGGGCTGCGCCGCGGGGCTCGGGCCCCCTGAAGCCAGATGTTGGGCAGCTGCGGCGGAGGAGGCGGCGCGCACCAGGGCGGCTGCGGGCTCCGGTGGCGTGGGTCCCCGGCGCCTGGGGGCGGCATCGGGAAGGGGGGGGGCAGGATTCTCCCCGGCCCGGAACGATCGCCGCGGGTTCCGGGCAGCCGGTGCCGGCGGGGGGCTGCGGCGTGAGCAAACTTCGCTGTTGGGGCTCCGCTGGGCACCGTGCGGGCCCGAGGATTGCACTGCTGCTTCTGCATTAACATGGCCGTCTCGGGAGCGCACGGAGGTCCGGGAGAGGGGGGGGAGGCGGGCCGGCCGCCCCCGCGCTTCGCCTGCCCGTGGGGCACCGGCGCAGCCACCGCCACCGCCGCTAACATGGCTGGCGCGTGATGGGCCCTGGCAAGGGGTGGACGGGCGAGCTGGGCGGGCGGCGGGGCTCCCGGGCGGGCTCTGGCCTTGGTCCCTACGCCCGCGGCCAGGGTCTGGTGGCGTGAAGGGCCGGGGGCGCTGCCGCGGGCCCCATCGCTGGCGAACGTCATGGCTGCATGGGCGCCTTTGTTATCCCGAGGAATGCGCCCCGCGCCGGCGAGGGGGGGGTCCGGCCCCCGCAGCCCCGCGCCCCCGGGCGCTCAGGGCGGGGCGGGGCGGGGTGGGGGCCGGCGAGCGGGCGGCGGCTGCGGTGGCGGGGCCCGGACCGCTTTGTTCGCCACCGACGCCTGTGCCCGCTGCTGGCGGATCAGCCATTTTAGCAAAGCCGGGCTCCAGGCGAGGCGGTCGCCACCATCACTGTGGCCGCTGCCGGCCAGGCTCGGTGCCTCCCGAGCGCGGCTGCCATCGCCGTCCCCGGCCTGGTGCCTCCCTCGGGGGAGGCAACGGTGGATTTCAGGGGCACTTTCTTTCATCAGGAAGCTTTTGACAAAATGGAAGGTGAATTATGGGTGTCCAGGTGACCCAGCACTGGCCGAGTGTGGCTGCCCACTGCTGGCCGCAGGCTCCCCTGTGTTCTGTTCTGCGCCACAGGCACAGCCACCGTGGGCCCTAATGCAGCCCCTGAGTCGGTCCCCGCAAAGGAGAGTGCTTTGGTTTTACATGATGACCTTGGGTGTGGGAAAAGGAAAAGATGGCGGGAAGCTGGGGGGGTGGGAAAGGGACTATGACACGCCACAGCTGCATTTTTATTTGGAAACTTTCTCCCAAGTATTTCTGGCTGGACATGCATTCTGCTTTACCGATGAGCAAGGCTTAGCTCTTTTTGTATCCCCTGCCCCTTTAGATGATGACGAAGAGACGGATTTGAACTAATAGGCCAGGGGTATCAGCTCGCTCCTTGTATAACCGTTCTTGTAAAGGCCATTTTTATAAGTCACAATGCAGCCAAAACACTGAAATATAAAATTTTTCCTTATTTACAGTCCCGCCTTGATCTTGGGTTGAGCAGCACTGACAGTATTTTCGTTTCTAACATGGGATTAACACAGATGACCAGCTAGCTTTAAGGCATTGGTTTCAAGCCCCTGCACCACCTACAAATGTATCCTCCCCACAGTGGTTGCAGTTTTCCAAAACATAGCGTTTCTGAATCCGAATGTAGAGCTGAACCACCCCCCTTGGGTCTGTTCCATTTGGAGAACTTGATCTACTCTTGGAGAAGTAACTCGGAAACCTGTGCACTTCATGCTGGTCAAAAGTTAAATGACAAGTGACAGTGAGGCTGATTTCCTTCCCAGTCTGTGGTTGCTAGTGGCATCTGGCATTTTTTTTTTTTGGGGGGGGGGCGGGTTGTGGAATCCTAAGAGCAGCAGTAATTTTAATTTTACCCTGCCTTTGTTGCATCTTGTAGTTCTGTTCATTGGATTTGTTTTTCTTTGTTTCTCTTTCTTTCATCCATCACAGTCAGGATGGCTAAAGGTGATCCCAAGAAGCCAAAGGGCAAGATGTCTGCTTACGCCTTCTTTGTGCAGACATGCAGAGAGGAACATAAGAAGAAAAACCCAGAAGTTCCTGTCAATTTTGCAGAATTTTCTAAGAAGTGCTCTGAAAGGTGGAAGGTATTTTTGCTTTGTATCCTTCAGGCTAGGCCGAGTATTTGATACTTTGGTGTTATTTACCTTTAGAGTAGCCCCAGGTGGCTGTTTTCCTCCTCTTAGATACATTTTACTTGTTTTTAGGGTTTTGTATGTGTGCTCTTATTGTTTAAGATTCTACTAGGGGGGTTAACCCACAGCTTTGTTTTCCTCCCAGTAAGTTTTGTTTTTCTCCCCCCTACCACACACAAAAAGACTCTACAAGGGTTTAAGGCTTTCATCCCCTTTTGCAAGTGGTTATGGCGGCTGCCGCTTTAATTATAGGATAACCGAACAGGTATGTATTCACTGCATTGAGGAATTTATCAGGTCCTGTTCTTTGCAGACAATGTCGGCCAAAGAGAAATCTAAGTTTGATGAGATGGCAAAGGCAGATAAAGTACGCTATGATCGGGAAATGAAGGATTACGGACCAGCTAAGGGAGGCAAGAAGAAGAAGGACCCGAATGCCCCCAAAAGGCCACCGTAAGTGACTGTAGGATTCAGGGCAACCATGAAGGGCTTTCCTTCTGCTTGAAAGATTTTTAAAAATATATATATATACCTAAAAATGTCAGGATACCTCTAAAATATCCTGTACTTTGAGCCTGACATGTTGGTGAGTTGTGCGTGCTTGGTAGTTGCCTGTTGACCTTTCCACTGGAAAGAAGGCAGCCTCTTTGGGGTGTCAGTATCCTTCGATACCTTCTCTACCCCTTGCCCAGTAACTGAGAAACTGAGAAACCACTATATATTGCTAAAGCAGCTTAAACATTCTATAACCTTCAACTTTGAGACGCTGTATATGGTATCCCACATTTCTTCACTCTAGGGAGGAGTGATAGGAAGTGTGTGGGTTCAGGAACATGGGATTTTGACGGGAGCTCACTTTTGGAAGATTCTCATCTACCTTGTATCATTTCCTCCCCCAAGGTCTGGATTTTTCCTTTTCTGCTCCGAATTCCGCCCCAAGATTAAATCCACAAACCCTGGGATTTCTATTGGCGATGTGGCAAAGAAGCTGGGCGAGATGTGGAATAACCTAAGTGACAGCGAAAAGCAGCCTTACAACAACAAAGCTGCCAAACTGAAGGAGAAGTATGAGAAGGTGAGGTGGGCCAGAGTGCGTGCGCTCTGGCCTGTGAGAAAGCTGCCCCGGATTGTGGGGTGGAAGGCTGCTTTGCTGGTCCCATAGGGGCCCATCTCCACTCAAGATCAGCTATGTGTGCCGATATTCTGGCTTCTGATCTTTTATTTTGGAGAACTTCAGACAGGCTTAAAATATGGGATAACATGGGATGCCACTGGAATAGGATTTGATAGCACTCTAACATGACTTAAAGGCTACTTGATCACCCATTACCTTTTACATTTGAATGGCTGAGAACCAGATATGTATCAGGAAACAAATACTTTAAGTAGCAGCCCTGTACTGTGTTTTGAATTCCAGCTTGCTTATTCTGAGGCAGGGACAGCATGTTTTCACCCTGTGTTCAGATAGCTGCAGGAGAGCTTGTCTTCTCATTTGGAATGTGTCCCTGTTCTTTCTAGGATGTCGCCGACTATAAGTCCAAAGGCAAGTTCGATGGTGCAAAGGGTCCCGCTAAAGTTGCCCGGAAAAAGGTGGAAGAAGAAGATGAAGAAGAGGAGGAGGAAGAGGAGGAGGAGGAAGAAGAGGAGGAGGAGGAGGAGGATGAATAAAAAAACTGTTTATCTGTCTCCTTGTGAATACCTTAGTGTAGGGGAGCGCCGTAATTGACACAGCTTATTTGAGAGGTGTCTGTTGCCCTCAGTAGGATTAATTACACAATTGGATCATGATCATATGTAGTCTCTCAAAGTGCTCTAGCAATTGTCAGTGGTTTACATGAAGTGGCCATGGGTGTCTAGGGCACCCAGAAACTGTATCAAAGTTGTACATATTTCCAAACATTTTTAAAAATGACAAGGCTCTCGTGTTCTCCTCACTCTGTGCACTTTGCTGTTTTGGTGTAACAAGGCATTTACAGATGTTTCTGGCATTTTCTTTCTTTCTTTTTTTTTTTAATCTGTAAGGTGGTGTTACCTCTTTGGTTATTGGCTAGAAATCCTGAGTTCTCAACTGTACATATCTATAGTTTGTAAAAAACAAACAACCAAGACAAGCTCTTGATGCTCTTTGCTTGGCGTTGAGGCTGTGAGGAAGATGCCTTTTGGAGGGGCTGTAGCTCAGGGCGTGCACTGTGAGGCTGGACCTGTGGACACTGCAGTGGGCATCCATTTAGCTTCAGGTTGTCTTGTTTTTGTATATAGTGATATAGCATCCTGCCATTCTTAGCTGTGGAAAAAGGGGGGTCAGCTGGCATGAGAAGTCTTTGGATCGTTTTTTAGTTGTGTGGTAGTTTTAAACTTTGCTTTAAAACAAGCTACAACTCTTCATTGTCAACAAGGTGAAGAGTCCCTGCATCAGTGAAAGTTCAAGAACCCTTCTGTACTACACACACATTTGCAACGTTTTGTTAATTTTTGTATGTTTAGAATGCTGAAATGTTTTTGAAGTTAAATAAAAACAGTATTACGTTTTTTAAGCTGTTCTCTATTCTAACCCTCTAAATTTCTGACTCATAGCAGTCTTAATGGTGAAGCAACCCACTCCGCTGTATTTGATGACTAGCCTCCCTGTAAATCTGGTAACTTAGGATGAGTTGAAGAGAGCTACCTGAAGTTACTGCATGATTTCATTTGTCTGAATGGCATCAAGATGAAGTCTGAGCTATGAATGTAGGAGCAACACAGGCAAGGTTGAGCAGCCTTTAGAGGTGCAGGAAAGTGGGTGTTTAGGATTGAGGCTAACTACTACCTATGAGGTTTAAAAACTGCCTCTTGCCTCACCCCTTACGTTTGGGGCCAAATTCTTAAACAGCAAAAATATCTTCTGAGGGGGGTGTATCAAACATTCAGGTTCCATTCCCCGCCCCCTCCCCCCACCCTCTGGAAATTTGTTCTCAACAATTGAGGTCTTAAACTGCCAATTCTCTTTTTGGTCACCAGTGATGGTGGGGAGCAGTATCAATACCTCCCCCCTGTAACTTTAAGAAGTTTTATACCCAAAGGATGTTTGCTGGATCTGTTGGCAGGCTGTGTTGGGGCACCTGACGAAATCTGTTGTTTTAAGCACTAAATGCATCAGATGGAAAGTAGAATGGCCTACATGGTGATGAGCTCATTCATTGGAAACAAGGATTGTTCAATTTTCTTGAAGCTTGGTTTGTGTTTCAGTGATGATTTCATGGCGGATGGTGTGATATTTTGTCCAAGTTGGGGTGAGGGATGATGGCCACAGTGGCAAAATGGTGATACCAAATAAAAGTATTTTGTGGGCTGATGTGTACATGCATCTTACCTGTTGGCAGTAATGAGGGGTGCTGTGTTATGGGTGAGCGTTGCTAATGCCTAGCATTGACACTCATGTATGTTTGAGGCTGGGAAGCACTCTGGGGTGTTTTTTAATGACACATTTTCATGCTTACTCAGGAGCGAGCAGCTTTTTTTCTTAAAATTGACTATTTGGAACATTGCATGTCTGCAGAGAGTGTCCTCCCCACCCTGTCAGGTTCTGGGTGTGTATAAGTTGTAATGATCTCCGGCCTGATCATTGATCTATATTTATCGCCATTCCTTCTCATGTCAGAACTGTTTGTCCTAACTGTTTTTCCAGTTCTTCTAGAAAATGACCACTAAGTAAAAATCTCTAGGTCCTGAGCTTTGCCTGGAGGTACTTGTTCCAGATTGCCCCTCCTGCTTCAGCCATGCCCTTGTTACTTTCCTCCAGCCGTCACTTGGCATTGTGGTCTTAAGCTGCTGCTGCCCCAACACAATGTGCCATGCTAAGATTAGAGAGCTGTGGGCAACCTCGTCACATGCGAAAGAGCTCAACTTGGTACCAAGAAGAGATTTCTGCTAAGGGGTGCGCCTCTATCTGGTTGTAAATAGACATGGCAACTATGGAAGGGGATGACTTTCTTTTGTGCTTCCACAGTAACTAAACAGAAGTAGGGAAGCTGTTAAGTGATCTTTGATTAAGCAGATATTTCATTCTAAAGGCACTTAAGGCCACTTAGTTCACTCGCTGCTTGCAGCAAGACTACTGTTCACCCTATCAAAAGATTGCTTGTCTTGATGGAGTGATGCTCTCTTGTCCCTCTGAGGTGTGACAAGTGGCATGGTGTCATTGCCTAAGGCTTTAGCTTTGTTTAATTTCTGGGCCCACAGTAGGTGCTCTTGCAATGCCAACCTGTGTGTGTGTTTTTAATCTAAAGGACAGTACCTGCTTTCTCTAACCGCTTCTTTCTTGCAATCCCCTCACCCTGTTCTTGAATGGTGTTTTATCCTTTGGAAAGAATATGGCTGTGATGTAGCAACTATTGTCTATGTCTCCTGTGTGTCTCTTCTTGTCACAAATGTATTTGGGGACATTAGATGCGTTCATTTTCTGTAATAAAGTTTCTTAATCAGTCATCCCCAAAAGTAATCAGTGAGCTGTCTGCAATCTGTTTGACATACTGCATCTCTGTATTTTGGGTTGATTATAATCAAAGTTTTAGTACAAGCTTTGCTGTAACCACAGATCCAAACTAACATTTAATGGAAAAATAATACCAAAAAGGGCAAGTGTTAAGGACTCCAAAGCCCCTTGATCAATACTTCAGACAGAGGGGTAGAGGAGGACTTTGGCTCTGGAACTCTATGCCAGGATAACTGCAATTTGCAGGATGCCAAAGGAGCTGTGTACTTGTATTCAGCCAGCCTTGCCAACCAGGGCTTCCTAAGGCCAAGGGTTGGGGCTTATTTGGCTGACAGAGCCAGCTCAACAAGGAGTTTTGGATGAGAGGGCCCTAGGGTCCTCTTGTTGTTCGTGGGCCCTGGCTTAGTTTCCTGTGGGGCCCAGAGCTACTTGGGAAGGAATTACTGATAGGCCAATTTGGCAGCTGCAGACTTCCCTTCCTGCTTCAAACAAAGCGAACCCTCACTGTGTTTTTTTATCTTGAGCATCCTTCTAAGATTTTAACTTTAAAAAAAGAAGCTGGGGCACCATATTCATAAAGGGGGAAAAATCCACACAACCTCAATAGGTATATAAAAAGCATTTGATTAAATCCAGTACCCTTTCATGATAAAAACTCTCAGGAAATAGACTGGATGGGAACTTAACCTGATACAGAGCACTAAGAAAAGTCCACAGCTAATAATAATGAAAGATAAAGCTTTCCCCCTAAATTCAGGACCAAGACAAGGATGCCTGCTTGTGCCACTTCTATTCATCATTGTACTAGAAGTTCTAGCCAGGGTAATTAGGCAAGAAAAACTAAAAGCATTCAGCCCTGGCCAGACAGCTCAGTTGGCTAGAGTGTCATCCAATATGCCAAGGTTGAGAGTTTGATTCCCAGTCAGGGTATATGCAAGAATCAATCAATAAGTGCATAAGTAAATGGAACAACAAATGATGGAGGACTCAGACTTCTCAATTTCAAATTTACTACAAAACTCTAATAATCAACACAGTATGGTACTAGCTTAAAAACAGAATATGCCCAGCTGGCATGGCTCTGATTGAGCATAAACCTATGAACCAGGAGTTAATTGTTTGATTCCCCATCAGGGCACATGTCCAAGTTGTGTGTTTGATTCCCAGTGTGGGGTGGGCAGGAGGCAACCAATGAATAATTCTCATCATTGTTATTTCTATCTCTCCCTTTCTGGAATCAATATATTTAAAAGATAAAAACAGAACAGACAGACCAATGGAATAAAATTGAGAGTTCAGAAATAATATGGCCAATTAATTTTCAATAAGGATACCAATATCATTCAATTGGGGAAAGAATAGTATTTTAAACAAACAGTATTCACATGCAAAGGAATGAATTTCAACCCCTACCTCACACCACATACAAAAATTTAATTAAAAATGGATTAAAGATCCAAATGTAAGAGCTAAAACTATAAAACTCTTAATAGAAAACATAGGTGAAAACCTTTGTGAACTTGGATTTGGCAATGGTTTCTTAGGATTTCAAAAGCACAGAGCAACTGAAGAAAACAGATAAAAGAAGAAAACATTAGATAAATCTAATTTTAAAAATATTTTGTGCTTCAAGCATTAACATCAGGAAAGTAAAAAGAAAACCTAATGTGAGAAAATATTTGCAAATCACATCTCATAAGAACTGTATATAAGGAATGATTACAACTCAAAGATAAAAATTTAAGAAGTTTAAAATGTGCAAAAGATCTAAATAGACATTTCTCCAAATAAAGTTTACCAATAAGCACATCAAAAAATTCTCTGCATCATTAGCCATCAGGAAAATACAAATCAAAACCATAAAGTGATACCACTTCACTTCCACTAGCATGGCTTTCCTATATAATAAAAGCCTAATATGCTAAGTGTCTGGTCAACCAAGCAAAGCCTAATATGCTAATGATATGCTAAGGCTGCTCAACCACTTACTATGACATGCACTGACCACCAGCGGGTAGATACTCCCAACAGGTAGGTTAGCTTGCAGCTGGGGTCCAGCCAATTGGGACTAAGCGAGTTGGGTAGGGCATGCTCTGAAGCCCTCCTGTGGTCCCTCCCTGGCTGGCCAACCTCCCGTGTCCCTTCCTGGTCTCAATTGTGCACCAGTGGGGTCCCTTGGGTTGGCCTGCACACTCTC